CCTAATAAACCTTAAAATATTTTAATCCTCAATATAAAAAATAAGTAAAAAACTCCAAAATCATAACATGTTTTTTTGTCTAAATCCATAGCGTGAATGTTTTTATCTTTTTCTTCGTATTCTTAAGTTCTGACAAAGATTCATTTCTCTTATTACAGTGAATTCTACTCTGGCGAGACCCGCAAAACATGTTTGTTCTTACTTTTTACTTTTCCATTATCTTTTTCCTTTTAAATCTCAACATGCATGTATAAAAAACGTGAATTTAAAAAGAAAGAAAAAAATACAGGTTTGATGACGATGAACACAAAAAAAATCATCTTTCCTTAAGTTTTTTTTTGTAGTAACGGTTGGAATAATGGTGATTGCGTCCCGTCATCGGCGCAATCGTCCGTTTCCCATTAAATTACGGGTGCAATCGGTCGTAATCGGTGTGCATCCGTGATCCACCACAAAAACTATGAATAACGGTTTCGGATGGTGGCGCGACCGCGATATCACGACCGCTGTAACGTTTTCGGAACGCTATTTGATACCCTAATGCACCCTGTACATAGCAGAATCATCGTCTTTGAAATATAAAGTTGTCCCCTCAGTTGTTTATGCCAAACTAATGTTGGATTGGAAAAGAAATTTGATTATAAACATATACCCAGAACTCAAAACAGACAACTCTGCGATCAGTTTATTGATCGTTCAACCAAAAACAAGAAAACAAAACCCAGAATTGGAGCCTAAGTACTCCAAATCTCTAGTGAAAATGTAATGAAAACAGAGGGTTGTGGGATGAGTAATATATAGTGGTTGGACAAAACGCACCTAAAGTGCTGAGATTTATTGTCTGAAGCTTGCCACTAAATTCCATAAAGCTTGAACCCATTTACACTTACCTAGCTACTTCGCGCCCAAATTAATTTATTACCGTTAACATAATTAAGAGGTTAATTGTGTATTAGTTTTTAAAAAATTATTAATAAAATTAGAAAGATATTTAACGTTTGACAATTTAAAACAATTGGAGAAATTATGATGCCAAAGTGGCCTCTTGACCTATTGGTCTAAGCTACTCCCAATAAGGTAAAAGCCTTGCTTTAAGCAAGCTCATAAGTAATTCTATGGCCTCATCTCCTACAACAATTGGTGGTACTTTTTTGCTTTTCACATTCAAGGAAAATGGGTGCTGAAAACTGAAAAGCCGAGTCCATATAAATTTACTTTCATTCATTTATGTCCTTTTTAATTTAGTTTTTTACCAAACAAATAGATCTCGAATTTTAAATTCAGTGTTCAACCTTACTCAAATGCTAACATGGGGTAAGATTAAAGATGTTAATGGAATATCATTTCTTAGACGTTGTCATTCAGAATACCAAGTGTTTTCCCACTTTTTAATTTGTCTTTTTCTATTATAATTGCTAATAAAATATGTATGAAGACGTTTTAAGAATGTTTCTGCTTTGTGTTTGCAGCTGCAATACTGATGTGGTTGATTATGTCTTGGAGCAAACACGGAAACATGTTGGTGACGACGGACGATATGAAAGGAAACGAATACCAGTGCCACAACTTCCTTACTTGTCAAATATCTATTACGGTGAAAATGATATTATGTCCAATCCAATTCGATAATATATTGGGTAAAGTACATAAATTATCTCTCGATTTATTTTGTTGAGTCTCTCGGTTAATGAAATTTATAAAATGGTATTCAATTATAGGGTATTGTTTTATTGAGTCGTACGACTATTAAAAGTTACAATATTGTCATCCGACCATTCATATGTTTCAAACTTCTCATTTTTTGTTATAAAATTGGCAGCCGTCTAAGCTGCACATTAAATTATTGACTAAGATATGATAAAATTTGATCTCATAATCGCTTGAACTGTATTTTTTGGATTGACTCTCCGTTCATATTATGTCGTCGAGTTAGTGCTTGAAACATTATGTCGCCAGTAGACAAAGTTAAAATATGTTTCCATCATATCTTAGTCAATAGGTCAACGTCCAGTTCAGACGAACGTCAATTTTTTAACGAAAAATGACGAGTTTAGAATATATGAATAGTCGGATGACCATTTTGTAACTTTTAATAGTTGTGGGAGTCAACAAAACAACATCCTATATTCAGTTGACTATATTATAATTTTTTTTGGGATAAGTTTCTCAATCTATTATCCAAAAATCAGTCAACATACTGCTACAAAGCAATGCCTTCCCAATCTAACATCCCCTATGAAAAATGTATCCCCCAAGCTAGACAAAGATCTCTATTAACCACATCATTCTTAATGACCTTCCTAAGTACATTTAGTCTCACAATTCTTTTAATACAATTAACAATATCATCAACACTCCTTTTACCCTTAAAAAAACCTCATTAGACTACCATTGAAAACAATAGAAAACCTAGAATTAGTGACACAAGCCTCAATCCAGTTTTTGAACCTACCAGGTAGTCCCAACCCTTCCAAAACAACTAGCAGAAAGCCCCAACTCAAGGAATTAAAGGCCTTTTGCAAGTCAGCCTTAATAGCACATCTAGGTGCAATATAACACCTACCATACCCTGTAACTAATTCCTGTGCAATGAGGGCATTATCCTCAATACATCTCCCCTTTACAAAAGCATAATGGTTTTAAGAGATCATACCAGGAAAATAATTAGTCAATATAGCTACCAGAGTCTTAGTTATTACCTTGTAGACAACAAAGCAACAAGTTATTGGTCTATAGTCCTTAGTCATCCTAGAATTAGGAATTTTAAGAACCAAAGTGATATCATTTGTATTAAAAGCAGGGAGCAGCTCAGATGTGTCAAAAAATGCTCCACAACAACACAGACATCCCTACCAACAATTCCCCAAGCAAATTGAAAAAATCCAAAGGTAAAACCATCTGGACCTGGTGCTTTGTTCTTCCCTTGGCCAAAGACAACACATTTTATCTCCTCCCTAGTTACCTTTCTAACCAAATCCTTACTACCACTAGTAGGTAAAGAATACCCCATCAGATTCCTAATCTGCATCACAGCCTTGAATATTATCATTAATGGCCTCAATTTGTTTAGTAAAAAATTGCACCATTTCAGCAGACATAGTCTCAAAAGTCTCCAACTTGTTCCTACCCTCATCCACCAAGACTCTAATTGTGTTGCTTTTTTTCTTAACTGCAACTTGAGAGTGGAAGAACTTAGTGCATTGATCTCCATCTTGAAGCCAATCCACATTTGCTTTATGCTGAAAAAACAACCCCTCAACCTTCTCCGTTCTGCAAGCTCAACTTGAAGCTCTTTCTCAACATTTGAATTCCATAAATAAGGCTTACTAAATTTTCTATTTGAAGTTTCTTCTGCTGCTCCCTTTTCCCAACAACTCTCCCTGAAATATCAGAATAAAAATTCCTATTCAAGTCCCTCAAAATAGGCTTCGGCCTCTTTAACTAGCAAAAGAAGACCTGCATAGGATCTCCTTGCACAGGCCCCTCCCAAGAATTCCTAACAATCTCATGAAAGTCAGGATACCCAGCTCAAAAATTAAAATACATAAAAGGCTTGGGCCTAGAAGCTAAACATTCCTCCGAATATCAAACCACAGCCAGGCAATGATCTGAGATCCCAGGAGCTTGAAATTCTACATGAGATCCAAAAAACATATCTCACCAAGTGATGCACAAAGTGGAGGCTTTGCATGTTGAGGTTTTTTGTTTGTGCGAGACAAGGGTTAGGGAGCATAAGGCTAGTAACATTGTTGCTAAGTATATTAGTGATCGAGATTATTGCTGGAACTATGTTGCTGTTGGGAATGGGATAATTTGGGTGATGTGGAGGAAGGTTTGAGCTTTTCAGTTGTACATGTGGATGACCAATATGTTACTATTCAGGGCAGTCTATGTGGTAAGGGGTTGTTATTACAACAGTATATGGAGATAACAATGGAATGACTAGGAGAAGGCTGTGGCATCAATTAAATTTGGTTGGTGCCTTGGTTGGTAGTTCTGCTTGGTTCAAGGAGGTGATTTTAACATTACTGCTAATGTTACTGAGAGTTCTAACTCAGAGGATATGCAAGTTTCTTCTGAGATGGAGGACTTGAAGGTGGTGTATGAGGGATTTAGAGTTAGAGGATCACCCTTATTTTGGACCTACTTTCATCTGGTCCAATAAGCATGAAGTTAACTATTTGGTCAGGAAACTTGACAGGGTGTTAGTATATTATAATTTTTAATAGTCATTCGATTCAATAAAACAACATCTTATAGTCGATAATAATTTATATACTTTACTGTAACATATATTTATGTCCTTCAAATATTTAAAGATAATTGTAATAATATTTTTTCAATAATTAAAATGGATTTTGGGTCAGGTTGGATGAAATCTCCTCAAATCAAAATTGAGTTAGATGATAGATGAAGAAATGTAATTTCAAATCAAATTTAAATGAATAAAATCTCAATCTAACCTAATCAATGTTTATCCATAACTCATGGAACTACAATAAACAATCTACAAATCTTTAAATATTTTTATTTTTCTAAGATATAAATTATTATATTTAAATTATATATTAATTTATCTAAATCAAGTAACCTTAATTATTAAGGATTTGTAGTCATTTTTTAAGATTCGAAGTTTGAGCATCGTATAAGTAAGAAATATGAGTTTTCGTTATTAAGTAATTGAGAATTTTTAAACATGTACTATATTGTATGCGCCTAGATTTTTTTAATTTTTTTAATAAAATATAAAAATACTTAAATTTATGATTTTTTTAAAATTTATAACAATAATAACATCAATAAATAAATGCTGATTCAACTTGTTAAATATTTTACTTTAACTCCAGCATAGCAACTAACATATCTTTCCCAGATTGGCTCTCCATAACAATTGTAAAAATAACTTAAATTGTGGAATGGAATGAATCCATTATATGGTTTTGATGTGTTCTCAGATAAGATAACCAAAATATCTATGGCATATCTACCGCCATATATACAGAAAGCCATATCAGATATTTTCCTCATTCCTTCACTCAAAACACTCTCCCATGGCTCCTACTCTATCCACTGCTCTTGATCTCCATTTTCCCATCCCTCAAACCCATACCAAAAGACGCATCTTCTTCACCAGACGAAAACGCACCATTTACTGCAACTCCACAAAACCTCCCCAAAACCCACCTTTTACAAAAACCCCATCTTTATCGGAGCAACTCCGGCCACTTTCGACCACAACCCTTCCCGACAAGGACCAAGCTCGTCTCTTGTCGAAGCCAAAGTCCACATGGGTGAACCCCACCAAGCCTAAAAGATCCGTTATTTCACTTCAAAGGCAAACGCGTTCTCCTTATGCACACAATCCCAAAGTCGGGGAGCTGAAGCTCTTTGCAAAGAAGCTGAGTGATTGCAGTGAAGATGCTTTCCTAACCGTTCTCGACGAAATCCCACTTGAACCCACTCTAGAAAATGCACTTCTGATCCTCAACAGCTTGAAACCATGGCAAAAGACTCACCTTTTCTTCACCTGGTTAAAGACCAAGAATTTGTTTCCCATGGAAACCATATTCTACAATGTCACCATGAAGTCTTTGAGGTTTGGGAGGCAGTTTGAGCTCATTGAGGAGCTTGCTAATGAAATGGTAAGCAATGAGATCCCACTTGATAACATTACTTATTCGACCATTATTACTTGTGCCAAAAGATGCAATCTCTTTGATAAGGCTGTAGAATGGTTTGAGAGAATGTATAGAACTGGTTTGATGCCTGATGAAGTCACTTATTCTGCTATTCTAGATGTTTATGCGAAATTGGGTAAGGTTGAGGAAGTAGTTAGCTTATATGAGAGAGGGGTGGCTAGTGGTTGGAGACCTGATCCCATAGCTTTCTCTGTTTTGGCAAAGATGTATGGTGAAGCTGGAGACTATGATGGTATTAGGTATGTTTTGGAAGAGATGAAGTCGCTCGGAGTCAGGCCGAATTTGGTCGTTTACAATACTTTGTTGGAGGCTATGGGGAAGGCGGGGAAGCCTGGTTTAGCAAGAAGTCTTTTCCAGGAATTGCTTGATTCTGGTTTAACTCCAAATGAGAAGACTTTAACTTCCCTTGCCAAGATATATGGAAAGGCAAGGTGGGCGAAAGATGCGTTGGAGTTATGGGAGGAAATGAAGTCGAAAAAATGGCCGATGGACTTTATCTTGTATAATACTTTGTTAACTATGTGTGCAGACATTGGTTTAGTTGAGGAAGCAGAGCATCTTTTCATGGATATGAAGCAATCGCGGCATTGTAGGCCGGATAGTTGGAGCTACACAGCAATGCTGAAGATATATGGAAGTGGCGGGAATGTCAGTAAGGCGGTGGAGATTTTTGAAGAGATGTCTGAGGTTGGTGTTGAGCTAAATGTAATGGGAGCCACTTGTTTGATTCAGTGCTTGGGGAAGGCCGGAAGAATCGATGAGTTAGTGAGGGTATTTTCTGTATCGGTTCAACAAGGAATCAAACCAGATGATAGGCTCTGTGGATGCCTGTTGTCCGTCGTGTCACGGTGTGAGAACAAGGCAGACGTTGATAAAGTTCTTGCTTGTCTGCAGCAAGCGAATCCTCGGTTAGTTGCATTTGTGAATTCGATTGCAGATGAGGAGTATTGTCTTGACAATGTTAAAGAAGAGTTCAAGGGCATCATTAGTGACACTAAAGATGATGCCAGAAGACCGTTCTGTAATTGCTTGATCGACATATGCAGAAATAAGAATCTCCATGAGAGAGCACATGATTTGCTTTATCTTGGAACCCTGTACGGATTGTACCCAGGTTTACACAATAAAACTGCAAATGAATGGTGTATGGATGTCCGATCGCTCTCCGTCGGTGCTGCACAGACGGCTCTTGAAGAGTGGATGGGGACTTTGGCCAAAACTGTTAACCGTGAAGAAGCATTGCCAGAGTTGTTTTCAGCTCAAACAGGTACTGGAACCCATAAATTCTCTCAAGGACTGTCAAATTCATTTGCTTCTCATTTGAAGAAACTTGCAGCACCTTTTAGGCAGAGTGAAGAGAAAGCTGGTTGTTTTGTGGCAACAAGGGAGGATTTAGTGCCATGGTTACGATCAAGGATTCCCTCACCCGCCGTTTCAGTTTCAGTTTAAGATACTTGCAAAGACATGAACCATGGTTGGAAATGTTTTCGCTATTGATTACGATAAGCATAAGCTATGAAACGAGCCAGCTGCAGTAGCTACTTGTGCTTATTCATTCGTAGCTCTAGTCTCTAACAGTTTTACAGATAGCTGATTATCAGCAATGGCATATATTTTCATTTCTGTTCCCAATGGAACAATTGTTTGCATAGTTAGAAAGATTTTAATCACAAAAATGGACTCGAAAATGCAATGGCTGGATGCTTTGTTCATTTGTAATTTTACTTTGTGCCAGTTTTACAGAGCTGATTATCAGCAAATACCATATGTTCTTTTTATCAATTTTCAATTGAAGGAATTCCATAAAGTTGCAGTTGTTTGTATGAGCAGAAAAAGGACTTGAAACTGCAATGTCGGAAATTCGACCTTTAAAAGTACAGATGGTAAACTTTGGACGAGAGAATGATCAAAGTTCAGTAACTATATCTAATATTTTTGTATACCCCACCAAATTACAGAAAACTATTTTCACTTTTTAGTCTTTTTGGCTCTAAAAGAAAGAAAAGGAGGAAGGCACATTGAATTGAACCACCATCCCGCCTATGCAAAAACCTCTAAGAAAGCATGTCTTTAAAGGATAAACTAAAGAAACTGAGAAACAAAAAGACTTATCTTTCTTTTCGGTCTCGGAGATAACCGCATCTCCAGATCTCCCCTTTTTTCCCGAAACAAAATTCCAGGTCTATTCGACTCCTGATGACTAATCTAACATTAGACTTAGTTTAGTATCACCTGGACTACCTGCTACCAATTGTAAGCTTATGGTGTAAGACCCCTAAAAGAACACCAGTTTGAGAGCCATCAAAAATGGACCAGCACCCATATTTTCCCCCCAAGTGCTTGCAAAGAACTCGACTTCAAGAACTTTTAGCTTCTGAGTTCTGTGTCAACTGTTTTTGCTTGTGAGCCCAGCATGTGAAGAGTTTCATACATACTTTCCAGATGACTTCCAAATTCTTCCCTCCAATGATATCACCATGACAGTAACATCATCATGATACTTTCGCCGATCTCCTGTAGGGATGTCTAGTAATTCATGGAAATCCATGCCTGCAGAAATCGAAACCAAGATAAAATTCAGTTTAGGAATAAAGATTGCCAGATAAAATATACGTGTGCAAATCTATTTTATGTGTCAATATTTTTCGGTTACAAAAAAAGGTGTCATGAATCATGGAGTTGCGAAATCTTTCATGCTTCATCTTAACAGATAAACCTTCAATTGTTTTTAGCGACTAAAAAGTTTAACCCAAATTGAAAAGCCAGCTTTTCAGCCTCTTATTCTAATGGATTGAATTTGAGATGTCCAACCTTCAACACAATATATATTGGTAAAAACGGGATTAAAATCCAGAAGAGAATAGAGGGGATGGAAAGAACAATATGCCACTGAAGATTATGTTATCCTTGTAACCCAAACACCAAAATGCAGTGCTACACACTTCAAATAAATAATTGCCTACATAATGGAACTGAACTGTAGAAACCTTTACTACTTAAGCAAAAGCCACAGGTAACCACGTTATGCAAGGCAACAGCAGAAATAGATTAGTTACACTGATCCCATCTAAGTGAAATCATCCCCATGTGGCGATCCACTGACATCAATAAGTTCCCATTCAATCTTATAATTAGTTCTTCTCATTATAGACGAGGGAGCAGGGATAATAAGCAAGTTACAGAAAGAATGTTTACCAGCTTTCTTGGCAGCATGCATAAGAACCTCCTCTATTAGATGTTGCGCAGGGTCTCCATCTGGAAACTTTTCCATGAAACTCTCAACCAGAGAAACCACTTCTTGGTTGCTCAGATACTGATATAATCCATCAGATGAAAGGATTAAAAATTGATCCCTGGCGCAAAGTCTATGGTGATGAAGAGAAGGCGAGCAGGATATATATGGCGCTGTACCGATGTACTCATTACGAAACATCTCCAATAATGCATCATTCAACTTGGGCTGCAAAACAATGGGACCATGTTATTGCCTAAGCTGATTGTATTCCTTAAATATTTAACATGATATGACATGTGATACAAGCCTGTTTCCTCCTCTCCCAGTCTTCCTTCAGCCCCCCCTCTCTCTCACCCGCAAAATAAAAGCATAATTTGTACTTGCGGCATTTGAAAACATTTACATAAAAATGTTGGATAACGATTCCTTTTTACTTTGGTCTGAAAAAAATTAATTTTCCCCAGAGAAAAGGCAAGTAAATTTGAACTCTTCTTAACCTTCTGGGTTTCCTTTATAGCTTATTCACAGTAAATAATTCATAAGCCACTCAATGCCTTGGTTAAACACAATCTATCATAGATAAGATTCAACACTTTAATAGTGAAAAGGCATGTGAAGAACCTTTTTAAGAAATCCTGCACCAAATGCTCTAGTAACTTTAAGTCGACCTTTCACTCTGTCATTGGCAATGCACTGGCTGTCATCTGGATGTTCATTCTTGATTCTTATGATTTCCTGCACAAATTAAAAGTCAAATTCAGCAAATGCAACAAATAAATTAGAGCTAAATACAGATTCAACTGATAATCTTTCTTTGATGTCTGAAACAACAAACACCAAAGAAGCTGCAATTTGAGTGAGCAAGGAATATATCATTCATCATTAGACAAGTACATCCAAGCAATATTATTATTGATCATTACATACCATCATTACAAGAGCAAGACCTTTTCAACCCATAATAACAATATATTAATCCAATTTTTTAGAAGATCTAGATCCGTGTAAAAAAGACTGCAATTCAAAACACTGTCTATTCCCAAAATTTAACGCTTATCAATTTTCCATACCATCCTAGAAGATACAGATCCATCTCTTTATGGATCCCTTTCCCTAGACAACCCACATGCTTGCTGGAGCTGTGCTCAATAAAGTATAGAAATTTCTAGTTTTTTCTTCGAACCAAAATGCTAAGTAAATGTAAATCACTCTCAAAACCATCACCAGATGAAAATGCCAGTCAATCTTAAAACAGTTGAAAAAGCACCAGGTTTCCAATTCTAACAAACTATAAGACCCTTTCTAAACTGTTTGTTAAAAAACTCTAAAGATTTAACTACAGTAAACAGTTTTAATATGCAATAGGGAAGTTTTTAAAAGCAGTATAAATGACTTCTACAAGATTTAAATAGACTCGTCTAAGATCTGCCGTCTTTTTGTTAGATAAATTTCCGGGAGACAAAGGATGACGGATAACGTATTGCCTTAAGGACCAGATAAGAGATGTTTTACAAAATGCATGATCTGCATAAGAATTAATCTAAAAAGCTCCACTCCAAGTGCACCCAACTAGGGGTAAGCGTTCGATCGAGTCGAGTCAAAAAATTTCGAGTTATTCGAGTTGATGAGTCCTATTTTACAACTCGGATTTGATTTGAAATTTTTTCGAGTCGATTCGAGTTTATAAAATTCAAGTCGAGTCGATTTTTTGAGTTTCTGTTTAAATTTAATTGTAAATGTTTATAATATTATAATATTATTTGATTTCAATTTAAGTGACTTTCTATAACTATATATACAATACAAATATATTTCTTCATATTTTTTTCATATGTAATATACATAAATTATACAAAGCCAAGGACTCGAGTCAAACTTGAAAATAAATCCACTAGTTACTAAAAATTTCGAGTTATTCGAGTTGCATTTTACAACTCGATTTGAATTTGAAATTTTTTCGAGTCTAGTTTATGAAATTGCAATTCGAACTCAATTCAAGTTGAGTTTTTTCGAGTCGAATCAAGTCGAAAAATCGGGGAAAAAATCGATTTTTCGAATTGATTCGAGTTTTGCTCACCCCTAAGGCCAACACTGATACTGCACAGGTCATTCCAGAACAAGAATCTCATCGGCTTAAAACTAGACTCCCTGAATTATTCCCCTTACCTATCAAAATCAGAAGAATAAAGTAGAATTTGAAATACTTCAAATATGTAGGTAATGACACATGCAATGGCTAAAGGCATAACTGAGGTAAATGGAACTACATGTCTAATGTGTTCAGAAGAAAACTATATCATTACTAAAGGAACAACAATTTACACACAACATTCCAGTAAATCATTAAACCTTTCAAAGAAACTCAAGTAAAAATAAAAAGTAAGCAGTCTATGAGTTGTAACTGTTATTTTCCTAATGATATAGAAATCAGCCATGAAGCAAAACTTGAGTAACATAAAATCCAAACCTATACAACTCAGGAGATTGATACCAGCTTAAGCAAAGAAAATTGTCAAGCAACATAATCGTTTTAATGAAAAATGAAGATTTTAAGCACTCAAAGATAATGGCAGAAAACAAAAAATGCACTCGATTTTTCAATATTCAGAACATACTTCTTCAATGCTGGTGCTATGATCAGTTGACAGTTGCAGTGCGGTCAATCTCATGGACCGAGCAGAACCCTCATTAACTGGCTTAATTGTGTTGTCACCCGGTGCCAGTGTCTCCTCCATTATACCCTTCATGCTTGATCCATTTTCCTCGTGCTTTCTTCCCTCCATACTGGAACCAACATCTTCTGGTTCATACTGTGCAACAATTGCCCTACTATCGCCCACATTCATCACATACACATCCTCATCCCTCATCAAAACAACTAACAAACACGAACCCATCAAAGCAAGCTCTGGATTTGTATCAAGCACCTTATCTGTCATATCCAAATATGCTAACTCGGTGACTTCTAGAGCCCTAGACAAAGCCCCCAAAACCAATTCAGGATCAACTGGACCTTCTTTCCTTCTCCTCCCAGACTTTTGAACCCTCTCCTCCACTCTATTATTTACCTCCTCAACCTTCTCCTTCTCTTCTAACCGAAACCTCCATGGAAACAACATACTCCCAGACACCTCTCTATGCTTTGACAATCCCTGCCTCAATTTTGACAGCAGCAACCACCTTCTATTCACTGCAGAACCCTCTTTACTCACAGTAATTGCATCATCCACCGAAAACGCAAACCTGTCAGACCCTGAGAGATCCAACCCATCTTCCGGGTCATCCTCAGCTAGAAACTCCCATAACCTCCTCCTCCTAACCTCAGTCCCCTCGGGTTCAAATGCTACCCTCCTCACCCTGTCCTGTACCACTCCACTCGATTCATTCTCCCCAATTAAACCCTGCCCTGCACTCACAACCTCCTCAATGGAACTAATCCGATTCGCAGTATCACTATCAGTTTTATTTAAACTATTTGTAGCTATTAAAATGTTGGGTTGGTTAGTTTTATTTTCAGCTTCGTTTTCATTATCAGTTTTATTTTCAGAATCTTCATCAAGTTCCCAAAAAAGACCATGAAGTTCATGGAAAACAGCTCGATAGAGATTACCCATCAAGAATTCGGGTGCGTCCGGCCCATTAAAACCATCGTAAATACCAACGAACAACCACCCTTGCTTTTCCGAAACTACGACGTGAACCCGATCCTCCCCGGCCTTCCCTAATGCCCACTGCACATCCCCACAGTTCTTCTCCTCCGCCTCTGCTGCCGCCGTCTCCGTGCCGCCGGAATTTTCCCTTCTACCTACGAAATTCAACACCGGAACCACCCAAGGCCGTTTCTTCTCGGAGAAATTTCTCAAGATCCCCGAAATGCTCTTCCTTCTCTTCTTCTTAACATAAATGCCACCCAACGGTGCCGAGAAATTTACTCCCCCTTCAGGACCCGGGTTGGTCTCCAGTGGACCAGAAACAGCCCCGCGCTCTAACGAACCCGACATGAAGAACCCACTCCGCTCGACCGGCTCATGAACTCCTCCACGTGGAACCGGCTGCAGTGGCAAGGCACAAAACGATGAAGTGCTCTCGAAGCCATTCCCGCTAACGATGCTGCTCTTCACGCCGTAACCGAGGGTGTTCTCAGTGGCATCGTCGTAAATGTTGTCAAGTTGGAGGACAGTTCTGGGGGTGGAGGTATTCGCACTGACGGAGGCTCCGGATATGGCCTTGAACAGGGTTTCGGGTGTGGTTCGGTTTTTCGGGTCGTGCGAGGGAGAGAAACGCAGAGAGTGCGAAGGAGAAACAAAACGATCGGAAGGAGTCGGAGAGAGGAAACGATTGGAAGATCGAACATAACAAAAGGAGTGACCAAGGGTCTCATCCAACGGCTCCGATTCAGCGAATATCAGGTCCGCATGATTCTCCGGCGGCCGGTTTGACCGGTCTGTCACCGGATTAAAACAAGGGCAGAGCGTAGAAACTCCACTTCCCATCACATTTGATTCATTCCACTCCCTTCCTCTCCTATTCAAAGAGTTTCCAAAAATGAAAAAAATATATATATAAAAAAATAAAGAGAGAGAGAGAGAGGTGTTGCTGTTTTTCTGCAAGAGAGAAAACCAAAACAGGAAACTATATGTAATTTGAATTTTCTTTTGGTTTTTGTTTTTTCTTCTTCTTCTCCATTTTTTTAATTTAAACTATCTGAGTGGACTTCTTTCTCCAGTTTGAAATTTCTCTGCTTTTTTAATTCTCAGCGGTTGTTTCTTGGCTCTCGGCTGACGGTTACATGTGGCGATTGACAAATGCATCAACCGGAGACAAAAGGTCCACCCAGGATGCCACATGGGCAAACCAATGGGGTCCTCAAGGATTGCCAGATGTGCAATTGGGGTCCACACACCGATTCTTTTATTTTTTATGGGTAAACGATATGTTTAGTACCTAAATTATTTATTTTATTTCGTTTTGGTCCCCAAACTTTATTTTCTCAAAATCATACCTAACGTTTAGGTTAGGTTTTAGTTCGGTACATTGTCGTTTAAAACTGAATGATAATATTAACGTGTCACCATAAGATAATGTCACGTCACTATTGAAAATAATTTAAAAAATATCACGTCAACAGATATATTAAGTTTTTAATAATGGATACCAAAATGAAACATAAATTATATTTTATGTATGATTTTTAAAAAAAATAAAATTTGAGTACCAAAATAAAATAAAAGTAATAATTTAAATATTAAACATACAGTTCACCCTATTTTTTATAAAAATAAATAAATTTTGAAAATTGAGGAAATACGTCCTTAAAGGGACAGGGTTTTCTTCTTAGCTTTAGGATAATTCTGCTGTATAACAGGTTTGATATAAAGTTAAGGTAAAGTTTTATCGGAAATATTATTTTTTATTTTTGATAAACAGCTATTTAAAATATATATTTGTTTGAAAATGGTAATGTCACTACTTAATTTTTAATAAAAAATAATGTTTTAGATAGCGTTTTATTATAAATGTTAAATATTTTAAGTAACATCTAATATTAATATTTCTGATAAAAAAATAAATTTTAAATAACATTTTATTAAAATATTAAAAATATTAATATTTTCAATAACATTTTTATTTTACTGTAATACAGTACCTTAAACACCCCCATGGCTTTAAGGAAAGCGGTAGGGTCAAAATAGGGGAAGGAAACCGAGGAGTGAAAGGGTCGTCATTTCTAGGGATACTTTTGTCCGTTTCGTTGTTTGGTCAAAATAGACCCTTGTTGGGGCTCCCTTCAACCTTAGGCCCAAAAGCCCTACCTTCAACCAAATTGACAGTTTTACCCTTTTTTATTTTACCTCCAATCACATTGTAATCTAAGTTCAAATCTTATACACGATACCATTTTACCTCTTTAAATCATGTTTTGCATTTTTCTTTTTGTTCTAACAAATTTGAAATGAAAAAATGTTTTAAACTTTTTCTTGATTTATGAGATTTTTTATTTAAAATTTTTTTAATTATGATTTACATAAATGCACGTAATATTTGAGTATACAAAATCAGTTTTATATTTTGAACATCATGTTATAGATATCTACATTAGTTTTTGTATTTATTTTTATTGAAATTTTAAACAAATTTTATGGTGAATTGTTGATTTCTAAGAATTTGTCTATCTGTAAAGTTAATTTGTCAGTTTATGAGAATATGACAATTTACTAACATTTTTCTCATGATTTAGGTAAATACATTAAACGTTTTCGAATAGAAAGTTAGTTTCATATATTTTTTAGATTTTTATGAAGTCTCTCTCTAGACTATTACACGTGTTTTTGTACTTAATTTATTGTGTTTCATTTGAAATTTAAACAAATTCAATAGTAAATTGATGATTTATAAGAATATATCTATCTGTAAAGTTGATTTGTCAATTTGTAAGAATATGTCAGTTTACTAACATTTTTCTCGTGATTTAGGTAAAATGCATTAAACGTTTTCGAATAGAAAGTTAGTTTCATATATTTTTAGATTTTTATGAATAAGTCACTCTGTAGATAATTACGCGTGTTTTTGTTCTTAACATTTATTGATTTTCATTTGAAATTTAAATAAATTCAACAATGAATTGTTGATTTATAATAATCTATCTATCTGTAAAGTTGATTTGTCAGTTTGTGAGAATTTCTCAATCTATTAACATTTTTCTCGTGATTTAGGTAAATGCATTAAACGTTTTCGAATAGAAAGTTAGTTTCATATCTTTTTAGATTTTCATGAATAATTCTCTCTATATATAATTACACGTGTTTAACATTTATTAATTTTCATTTGAAATCTAAACAAATTCGGCAATGAATTGTTGATTTATAAGAATATGTTTATGAGTAAATGGTTTGTCAGTTTGTGAGAATATGTGAGTATATTAATATTTTCTCGTGATTTAGGTAAATGCATTAAACATTTTCAAATGGAAAGTTAGTTTCATATCTTTTTAGACTTTTATGAATAAGTCTCTCTCTATATAATTACACGTGTTTTGGTATTTAACGTTTATTAATCTTCATTTGAAATCTAAACAAATTCAGCAATGAATTGTTGATTTATAAGAATCAGTCTATCTGTAAAGTGATTTGTCAGTTTGTGAGAATATGTGAGTCTATTAATATTTTTCTCGTGATCTAGGTAAATGCCTTAAACGTATTCAAATAAAAAAGTTTCATATCTTTTAGATTTTTATGAATATATCTCTTTGTAGACAATTACAAGTGTTTTTGTATTTAACGTTCATTAATTTTTATTTGAAATTTAAACAAATTCAGTTGTGAATTGTTGAATTATAAAAAATATGTCTATCTGTGAAGTGATTAGTTAGTTTATGAGAATTTGTTAGTTTATTAACATTTTTCTTGTGATTTAGGTAAATGCATCAAATGTTTTCGAATATAAAGTTAGTTTCATATCTTATTAGATTTTATGAATAGATCTCTTTGTAGACGATAAATTTTTTAGATGATCTCGACTCACCACGTCATCTATGGTCTCGATGAATCTGATTCATCAATTTTAAAATAACTACTCATTCCTTATTTATACGTAAGAAATATATGAAGATTCACCTTGAAGAAAATGAAATGCACAAATGTTATTAGTTGGACCATAGATGACATGGTGAGTCGGGTCCATCTAAAAAATTTTCCTCTGTAGACAATTACACGTGTTTTTTATTTAACGTTTATTAATTTTTCATTTGAAATTTAAACAATTCAACTATGAATTATTGATTTCTAAGAATTTATCTATCTGTAAAGTGATTTGTCAATTTGTGAGAATTCGTCGGTCTATTAATATTTTTCTCATGATTTAGGTAAATGCATTAAACGTTTCCAAATAAAAAAAAACAGTTTCATATATTTTTAGATTTTTATGAATAAGTCTCTCTATAAACAATTACACGTATTTTTGTATTTAACATCTATTAATTTTCTCGTGGTTTAGGTAAATGCATGAGACGTTTTTTAAACAGAAAGTTATTTTCATATCTTTATAAAATTTTACGTATAAATCTCTCTAAATAATTACACGTATTTTTTTATTAATGTCTATTTATTTTCATTAGAAATTTAAACAAATTCATATATGATTTGTTGTTTTCTAAGAATTTATCTCACTGTAAAGTGATTTGTCAATTTGTAAGCATTTATTTTTCTATTAATATTTTTCTCGTGATTTAAGTAAATACATAAAACGTTTTACGACGAAAAATTACATTTTTAATTTTATGTAAAACAATTTGTTTATCTATAAGAATATATCATTCAATTATATTTTTATCTTTATCGTGATTTAATAAATACATCTATTTTCATGATCAGACCCCTTTATGGATAGTGACACCTATTTTCGTATTTAACATTTATGAAATTTCATTGAAAACTTAAATAATTTCTTCAAAATTTGATTAATCTTCTTTATATTTTGTAGATAGCCTCGTTAATTGTTTATGATTTAAACCTGACTCCATCGTTAATTATTAAAAAAAAGCTTTCTTTACTTAACATTTATAAACTTCAAAAGGATTAGTCTGCGTAAACATGAAGATACCATTTTGCCCATTAGATCGTGTTTTGCATTTCCCTTTTTCTAGTTAGAATAAAATTGAATGAAAAATGTATCAATTTTTAGTATTGAGAATGTAATTATTTATAAAGTGATTTGTCGATTTGTGATAATCTATCGATATGTTATTTACTTTATTTTATTATTTTATAAAATATAAAATACGTAAGATAAAAATAACATTTTAGACCCAAAAAAGTATATTTTTAATATTAAATATAACTTTATTTTATTATTTTATAAGATTGAATGCTACACAAATTTGGAAAAAAATACGTAAGAGGTCCCTATACTTTTAAAAAAATCAATGTGTCCCTCCAATTCAGAAAATAAAACCAATGCGACCCTTTGACCAATTTTTTTCATCGTTTGACCGTTACGGTGCTGACATGACAGTTCACAGTATTGACGTGACAGTTTATTTATCATGTTTGAGTTACCAATTTAGCATATTTTTCATGTTATTATCATGTTATCAATAATCATGGATTGTCACGTCAACATCATGGATCATGACATCAGTAACTATACTATCATGTCAGCACTGTAATGGTCAACGACGAAAAACGTTAGTCAAATGGTAACATTGGCCTTATTTTTTGAGTTGGAGGGTCAGACTGATAGGAAAAAAATATGAGGATCACATTAGTTTTTTTTTAAGTACATGGACTTCTAATGCCTTTTTGCCAAAAAATTATCAATAGTACTCTTTAATCTATTGATGTGTAAGATTAATTTTATATAATTTTATTGAAATAATTTAATGTATTTATGTGTAAGATTAATTTTAACAGTTTATTTATAACTAAATTATATTAAAAAAATTGTTTTTTGACGTGGGACTATGAGTTTTTTCGAACTTAATTAATTATGATAAAAATAAAAGGGCAAACTACACGAGAGACCATCA